AGTCGCTTCGCTCTGAATCTATTGGTTTTACGATGATGTGTTTTTGTTTCTGTCTGTCGTCAGCTTTTCGGGTAGTAAAAATGCTCTGATTTTCTTCAGCATAATTTCTGATATAGAAAAGTGAATCTATTTGGTACTTTTAAAATTCTTAGTTCGTTTTCGAAAAAAAAATTCATTAAAAATGGTAATTATTACGTTAATATTTTAACGTAAATTTTATTTTTTATTTTTCATTTTTAGTGTAACTCAAAAACTAATCACCTTAGTTGCATTAATTTTTTATCAGGTGTTAATATTACCATTTTCCAAACACTTTAAAACTTTCAAAATATGTAGGATTTTCTCAAGCGATGAGAAGTTTTGGATTTTTTTTAATTTATTAGATTCTGAGAGATTTTTATACTAATATATTTTATAGTATTAATCGAATATATTCTGTATTGTTACAGAAAATAATCATTCATTACAAAAATGCATCAGAACATTACAATGATTTTATGTATTATAAATATTGTAAATGTATTTTAAATAAATTAAAAGTATTACCTTCACTTCAAACCTAACTATACAGCAAAATAAAAACCAGATTTTTTTATGATAACTAAATATAAAAAAATAATGTAGCTTATAATTATTTTATAAATATAATATTGCTTAGATTAAAAATGTTTATTGGAGGTATATGACACTAAGGCCACAGTGCACTGAAAACCTAAAAAAAAAACTATAAAAATCCCTAAAAATGCATTTATGACAAAAAACACTAAAATAGTCCATAAAAAATATAAATATGCGTTAATGAACTGAACACTTAAAAAAAACTTTTCTTAAAAATTATTTATTGATTTTAAAATAAATTTTTTTAATCATAGGTAATTTTGGTTTTAATTTGAATTTCAAAACTGGTTTAAATCAAAAAAACAATTATTTAAAATGTATTTTAAGTATTTTTCGTAAAGGATACCAAACATTCTGTTAAAATTATTAAATGTAATAACAACACACCTTTAGTAACCTAATACCAATTAACAATAAAAAAGTTGTTTCTACAAATTATACCTAATTACGTGAATCAATGCATCAGATAGAACTTTGTTTGGAGACATATGCGCACTTTATCATCTAACAAAATAATTTTGTACAACTTCACGCTACTCCGTGAACCGTGAACATTATAAAGTACAAAATAATTTATAAATCTTCAAGACGATCCTCCTACCCTGTACATTAATGCAATCAATTACAAAAGAACTGAAAGTAACTTTGTTTCCATTTGAAATAACCATTACTACTAAAACCGAATACTATTCCAACCAGGGCTTCACAAAGTTTGGGTTATGAGTACCTACCTATAACGTTAAGCTTTTAAATAAAACGATTGAAACTGATAACGAATAACATATCCCCCAAAACAAGCTTTATACTTAAAGGGGAGCTGCAAATATGTAACTCGTATATTCGTATATTTATCATTGAATAATAATTGTATATTGTTATTGCTAACTAAATAAAGTTATTATTATTTAATTATATCAAAACTGGGGTAACGCAAGAAAGTCTAACCTAAACAAAATCAAACTTTTCAAAATATAGCACTTCGTAAATTATTAAATGCCCCTCCCTACGTATCTAATCATACTATTCACTCAGATCTGAAAATGCCACTAGTACATGATGAAGCCAAAATATATTACAAACGTTTCCACCTTCGCTTACTATCTCACCCCAATCCACTTGCTAGAAATCTCGCAACTCCAACAATCCCCGGAAACCCTTGTAACGTCTCCTCTTCACCTGGGGGTTGCCTCCCTCGGTGTAGTTCTGTTTATATTAACGAGGTCTCGGAAACTCGACCTCGGTGTAGGACATTCTTGCTAGGGATCAGGGTTACCTTATGTAAAGCAAGTACTCAAGTATATATATAATTTTGTAATTGTTATTATAATCGAATCTTACAATATAAAGAACATTAAATAATAGTTATTAGATAGGTATACTTATAAATTAGCTTAACCGAGGGTTACCGATCGGGCCATGTGGTGTCGACGTGTCGTGGGTGCTGCTATCCGAGGTGGGTTGAGCTGGCCGTCCACAGGTCCTCTTTAGGTCGTTGTCCGCTCTCGACTTCCTCTGTCGACCATTTTCTATGCCTCTTGACCCTTGCCTTCGACTCCACTAACCACTCTTAACTATTTTCCGCCAGGAGTTCCGGTCGGTTATTGACGCGATGTCAGCTAAACATCGCGTCAGCATAATATATATTTCATATATACCCTTACTCAGCATACTAGCCTTGCTAGACGTAGGGAGTAATGTACGATGTCGATGACGACATGTTCGTTACACCCTCCAAGAAAGTTAAAACGTACATTTTACCGTGATTTGCTTGTCGTATAAATAAGAAAAATAAAACATTTTTTTTTTTTTTTTTTAATATATATATACTTATATGTCTGTAATAATTACTTCAAAATGAAAGTGTCACTAATAGATGGCTACTCTAGTCAAATTATTCACTGTTATAAATAATCTTCTGTATCATATTTACTTATTGTGCAAATTGTACAGATTGTAAATTTTCTTATAGAAATAAAAAAAAATATCAAAACGGATGAAGCCGGATTCACGTGTACCGTGTCATGCGAGGGTGTATAGTAACTATATGGTTACAACTGGTAAACATATTGGTTTAAAAGTTGAGCTGTAGTAATTTCTTGGTATACCCGGTTGCAACTTGGTTATTGCATGATACCAAAAAAGTAACGTCCAACTACAATGTTCATAGCTAAGTGAATGCGCCTTAACGGATAATTAAACAGAGCAACGATCAACGGTTATAATTAATATCGAATAAAGTATCAGAAAACGATTAAGGAATAACGAATTAAACATAACAGAGATTATCAGATAAATAAAAATATTTTTAATTAGGCAGGTATCATTAAAAATATATTTTGGAACATAGTTGTTCTTGTAAGACTGATTCTTAAATAGTAAAATTACTGAGTAATTAAAATAAAATAAATATAAACGAAAGTTTAAAATAGCAATAAATATATCAATCAAAAAATATACATGATTTGTAAATATATATATAATTAGTTATAAATATGCTTTCTTACAAAGTAAACAGTAATGCCGTCGGATTCTAAACTGTTGTGGTTTTATATAATGACATTGACTAATTGTTGGGTTAAGTCAAAACAATCAATGAAACTATTAAACTATATCAAAGATTCCAGTATCCAACCCAAACTTAAATCCACTTAAAATATCTTGTCTCGAAATTTTCTCTAGAACCCTTTTCAACTTTCTAGAAAGCCACGTCTAAACCATGATTGATCAGAGATCACCTTCTGTCAAACTTTTTTGCTGCTATATTTCATTTTTTTGATATTATTTGTTAAACAATTAATACATCTGTAATAAAAATATTGTATCTATAATGTGTATAGATTTTATAATCGTTTCGAAAAATTAAAGCCACGCAAGTATAATATATATTATATATTAAAATATATGATGTCAAAAATATTTATCTGAAAAACGTAAATAATAAGTATCAACTGTGGTAGGTATACCATAATGGTATTGACTAACGAAATTGACATGCAATTTGATTTCTAAGGTTATTATTAAGGCTATTTCTAAATATTATTTTTTTGGAATAAGAAACTTATAGATTTAGATCAGTTGCAAAATATTTGGCAAGAGTTTTATTCTTTGAAATAGTATTTGACAAAGAATCCATGGTATTCATCACCTAAAATAGTATTTTTATGCATAAAAAAAAATTGTATTTTAATGGAAGTAGTTTCTCTTGCCAGTATCTTGATAAACGTGTGTGTGAGTCAAAATATTGAAATTTTTTATTACATTTTTTGTGTATCATTATTTATTTTAAATAGTATAAAATACTTTTAATAATATTATTGTACTAACAGAGTAATAGCTCTTCCTATATTTTGTAGAAGCCCTAGATAAAATTTTTTATATTGACATTTAACATTCAATAATTAAAATAGGAATAGTTTTACATTATATTTATCACGATGCTATTCAATAAAAAGCTCTATAGTGATAAACTGGAAGCAGTAAATTCTTAATATTGAATGTAATCGACTATGATATGAATAGGTTGTAAGTATACAATACAATGTGCTAGCCCGGCTATGGTTAGTAAAGAATACAACTAATTATTATGAATACATTAACAAATAATATATGAAAGCATATTATTATTTTAAATTATCGTAATTATAATTCCAGCAACAACACTCAGAAAAACTTCTCGTAAAAAAACGTTGAGTATAAAAAAAAACCTTCTCTAAAAGTTGTGATATTATTTTATAGAGAAGTATTTGAACTATAGGTCGCATCCGGCCGGCAGACTGAGAGAAAAAGACAATAATTTAATACGTAATTATTATCGAGGGTGCCTGTTGTAATAATAAATGTTGCAGGTAATTTCTTATCTTTGTACATTATTACTGCATTATTAGGTTTTTTTGGTTGCAACAAATATTATACTAGCTGTGAAGCATATCTTATCTTATCTGTTTTTTTATTTATTTGGAATTTAATTAAGACAAGTCGACAACTCGTTAAGTCACACATATTAATATACGTACAACACGTCAGTCCGTCAGTTATCGATGAGACGGTGGTGTCCGCTGCGACGTAATTTTTGTTCGTCCGTTTTGTTTATTCATTTTCGTAATTAAATAATATATTATTCTTTGTTTTAATTTGAATATAGATAGAAAAAGAAGAAAAGTAGAGAATGAAAACAGACAATTTTTTCCAGAACGGATGGACTTATATTGTTTTATTTTACCAGATAGAGTAGGTGCCTTACCGGTTTGTTTGATTTGTAACCAAACAGTGGCTGTTATGAAAGTGTTCAATATCAAACGTCATAATGAGACACAGAAGTAATTTGCCGAAAAATTCCCATTGGGTATACTGGCCTTCGTAAAACAAAAATTGAAAATCTAAAAATGAAATATAAATCGGCAACTCAAATTTGGCTGATGACTGAACAACAGAAATGTGCACAAGCTTCTTTACGAATTTCGTGGATACTCGGTAAACATATGAAGCCATTTACAGATGCTGATATTGTTAAAGAATGTATGCTTCAATCTGGAAATAAACTATTTAAAAAAAATTATGAAAACAGTAATGAGTATTGTTATTTTTATACGTGCAAAATCTTCACTCCAGCACAGACTAAGATGTTGGTAATGAACGTTTACAATTTCCTAACTCGAAAAAAGTTGTTGATGAAAAAGATGAGATTGATATCAGAAATTTTACGACGTCTTTGGATAGTTTAAAAACTTAATTCGAAAGACGCTTTGCAGATTTCAGAAAAATCAAAAACGTTGTACAACTATCGAACAGTAGTCTTACTTTGCAGCCTGACGGTGAATGGATTAACGGAGCAGAAAATGTTTTCAAATGCAATAGAGCATTTCCATATTCAAATGGAAATAATTTAATTACAATCAAATGATATCCTAAAAAATTTGTACAGTGAAAAGTATTCAAAAACTGAAATTGATTCTACATATGATGAATTATTTTATTTTTATTTTATTATTATTTTAAATATGTATCTGAAAAGAAATACCAATACCCGACGTTGAAATTATTGACAGTGAAAATGTGTACAATGTTTGGCTCCACATACGTCTGTGAGTCTGCTTTTTCAAAAATGAATTATATCAAAAATAAATTCCAATCCCGACTCAAAAACAAACACCTTGAAATGATGATGAAGATAGCGACCACAAACTATAACCCCGACTTAAAGCCGCTTGGTAGTTGAAAGCAAGATCTGCCATTTTTCTCATTAAAAATATTAATTACTAATTGTTTCATATATATATTAAATTTAATTATATTTTCATTAGTTTTAGTTACGTAATAATTAATAAGTGTATATTAATCTATATTGTTATAAAATTCTAATCCCATTAATTATTAAGTATTAAAAGTATGCTCATAAATAGCATTGATGCAATTATTTTAATACGATATTATAAAGAAGAGAAAGTTGTCGATATTGTTTGAATTTGCTTGTATTGTGCACTAGAGCTTATCAAGAGTTTGATTGTACGTTTAATATACATACAGTTTTTTGGAAGTTAGAAATTACAACTCAATTGTATATCGAGTGTCCTGCATTGGTCAATCGTTCGAACACCTAACATTCCTCTACCAAAGAAGTGAAAATAGTAGGACCGTGTTGATTACGGTTGTGGTAATGCCTTTGTCACATGGACAACCATTCTACTAATTTTTTTCCACACTTACTACATGGTTAATCACTATTACATTGCTAATATCGTAGTTCGTAGTATGTAAGAACATTGCAAATTATATACGGCACTATTACATATCCATGCAATTTCCGGAATATTAGCAATTACTGGAGGAAATAAATTCATAACTTGCCCTTTATCATTTAATTCTAATTTTTATGCTATAACTTAGGTAATGTTTTATAAGCAGAATTTAAAAAATATGGCTCAGGAATTTTTGCTATGCTGTGACTCGCCTAGTATACAACACAGTAAGTCGAAATTCAACTGATCATTATTTAACATAATTGATATTCGCAATACGTTTTTTCAATGGTTTTCCTTTTGTAGTATATTTAGTTTTTATACTGTTTATACTGCTATTTCTTTATATCAGAACCCATTAAAAAATTTTCGATAATGGGTCTAGTTTTCCAGAGAAAATATTTTTAATTATGTATTAGTCCCCTTTTCAAGTGACCCTTTAAAATACAAAAAAATATCGTGCTTTTTACGTAATCGCGCTCTTTTATTTTATACTTAGCTCGACCCTGCACTCTGCAGGGTCATTGGATATATCATTAGTTATTTTATTGATGTTATACAGACATTTTATTTAATTTACAATTCTAGTAAATTTTTTACATTTATTCATGGTACAATAGGTACCAATTTAATTCAATTTAATCAAACAAATTGTGATGTTATCGCAATTTGCAACATATGAATAAATATGATTGGATAATTCGGTGGTATAATAATATGGAATGATTACCTATATTTCATATAGGTCCATGCTATGGTTTAACGAACATTCTTAAAAATAAATAAATTACAAAGCTATATTGCGTTAATCGAGACTGAGTACATATTATACTATAAGCTTACGTCATAATAAGAAGTATACGTTTTCTGAAAGTTTATTTTAAAGTTATATTTTTCATAAATTGTACATACATTAGATATATTCCAGAATAAACAGTTTTAAATAAAAAAAAATAAGAAAAACTCATTGAACTTTCAATACGAAGAACGTAAGGTACCTACGTATAATCATATTACAAAGTATCACGTTAAAAATAAATTACATTAACAATTCCTTAAATCCAAAACTACTAACTTCACATATTATATATACCATTGACGTATTTCTAGCAGAAAAAATATTAAAGCTTAAAGGTCTCATATTATTAAATTTGAATTTGCAAACCATGGATACACCATCGTGAGCACGTCCACAAAGTAATCAGGACAGGTAAACTGTTGACTCAATGCAATTTTTATTTAGGTGTAGGTACACGGTTATATAGGTAATTTATATTAAATACGTTGCATACGTTATATACCATATTGATCAGCAACGGTTAATTTGAAAACAAGTAGATATACATGCAGTTATAAACTTATAAATAATATTAAAAACATTTTACTTTTTTACTACGATATATTTCTTATCATGGGCGTAACTTGGGCAATTTTTATGGGGGGGGGGGGGGGGGCAAACTTTATTTTATGTCGATGTACCGTATACTGGTATTTAGATATTAATTAAGACACTAAATATACTTAGTAATGGAAACTGGAAAGCATAACATAATAATATTATTATCTAAGCTAAATCTTTATTGTAGCATGTAAAATTAAATGGCATGATGGAAAAAGCTTGATAAGATGATGGTTTATTTAATAAAAACATTCTGCATTTCTATATTCTACTTGTTGCTTTATTTTTAAATAAAATGGAATTTATATTTATACATAAATACAAAGATTATACTTATAACATTATTAAAAGTTAAACCTAATATTATAACCTTGAAATATGTCTATGACAATTGAAGTCTTCTACCTCTTTCTGTTGAATCTGCATCAAACTGATCAATAATTGTATGAAAGTTAATTTCAAAAGTTTTTTCAATATGTAAAATAGCCATGTTACTAAGTCTTTCTTGGCCAATCGTGTTTCTTGAAAATGTTTTGAGGCGACGAAGAGATGAAAACGAACGTTCATTTGAAGCAGAACTCATTGGAATAGAAAGAAAAATTTTATAAATAAGGTTAATATTGTCAAATGAGCCACTCAAGTCTTTTTCTAAATATAAAGTTAAATGGGCTTCAAAATTTTCATCAATATTAGTTAATGAACACATTTTCCCAAATAGTTTTAATTCTGCCTTTAAGTCATCAAAGTTAGTATTGTAAGTGTTACAAACTTCTAAAATATATTCATCCCTGTGGTTTCTAGCACTTCAACAATTTGAAGAGCGTTAAGTATTTTTAAATTGTTTTCTGCAAATTATACAAAATATTTAATAGGCACATAAGGTACAAAACAATAAAGGAACATTTACAATCACAAATGACAAATCTAAGATCATTATTTACCTATATCAATATAGATCTTACAGAAGTAAAAATAATCAGTCTTAAAGACTGACTGATAAATATATTTATGAATAACATTGAACACAAACGGCCAAGACAAAAAAAAAACTATAACAAAGTAATTTGTTAACATTTCTTAACATTATTTCATACAACTACTGAAGTACCTACCATTAATAGTAGTTGATTCTGTCTGTTCTGATATATCATGATCTGGTTTTGATTGTTCTTCAAATTAGAAATAGTAATAGTAATTAGTTTAAATAAACAAAAACAAGCTACAAAAAAATGTAGGTATTCAAAAGGAAAAACTGTCAAATTCCTACCAGTTGCCTCTGATCCGTCTGGTGCTTGTAATATTGTTTCTGCAGTAGTATTCTGAATCAATACCAATGAATATCATTTGATTCAATTGTAAAAAAATTATGCAATGTTTTCAACTTTTTTGTTGGGTTTTTATTCATTTTTAAATTTCACACAGTGCGCCTGTATATTAACTATTATATTTATAGCTTATACAAATAACAATTAAATTAAAGGCATACCTACACACAATAAATAGGTAAATATCTTTAATGGTATTATACTAATGTTTTTTAATGTAGTTTATCCAAACACCATAACCAAAGCTCAAACACATGTGTCATATAAATTGTTATCAGTTGAAGTTGACAGTTAAACCATAGAACAATGTTAAACCTTAAACAGTTATCACGAATAGGAAAACAGGCTGTCATATCACCGAACGATTTTACGGTTTATGAATTACGGAACACAGCTGCAGTTTGCTGTTTGGTTTTGTTTTTACTTGATAATAATTATGATAATAGATTAAATTCTGTTATCATGATGTATTACGATGGCATATCGCATATAGCAAATGTTAATGAATAAATACATTTTGATTAATCAATTAATTTTTTTTCTATAGTTAATCTTTTTAAAATATTAGACTTTTCAGTTTTTTTGAAAAAATAATTCTTAAAAATCTAAAATGCTTTTTTGGTAATATTTTTCAAATTAATTTACAAAATACAAAGGGGGGCAGATGACCCCTCTCCCCTCCAGTTTACACCTATGTTTCTTATGTCTACAATTAATTATTCTAATTAGGTATTTAGGCAGGGATATTATTGTTAGGTATACCTATAACTATGATGAATGAATAAAAATGGATTTGCCAAACATATATTATATTATACGACCGGATAATCTACACAGAATTGTGAATTACAAGTTACAACTGTATAACAGTATACAATTGATAAAAATATAGAAAATGGCATAGGCAATGAAAAAAGAAATTAAACTAATATAAAATTAAAAGTATTTATAAATATTAAAATTTAATAATTAACTCAAGGTAGAAAATGTTATGCAATAAACTCTAGAATTCTAATAACTTGCTCATTATGAGTTTGACATCACATAAGCTCCACCAAATAACTATCAAGATTTTGACGAGTAATTTTTTGGGTAGTCGCGGTAACCGAATTCTGATTACTGGAAAATCATAGGTAATCGCGATGATCAAAAAAATGTCTTATTAGTATTCCACAATTCACAGTTATTCTATGTAGACAAGTTTTAAATTAGTGTCCACAGCAAAAATGTGTGTAAAATAATATGCACTTATTGGTGAAAAA